ATAACCAGACCATGGCATTCAACAAGATTCCTTCGACATTTTTCTTCATGGACCGACTAAGAACTTGAGAGTAGCTTAACTTCTGCTTTCGCCAAGGATGGCTCCCCTTGTAAGCAAACACATTCCTTCTTCTTGCCAATTTTCAACATTAATTGGCTCCAATTAACTCTTACTTCTCCCAGCAGCTTAAGCCACTCAATGCCTAATACAACATCAACTCTACTTAAAGGGAAGGGGTAGAAAGTCTGAATAATATTTAAGTCATGTACCTTGAAGTGAAGATCTCGGCATCTCTACTTGCATCAAATTGTGAACCCGTCAGCCATCATGATGTTATCTCAGTAATTTTATCCATAGGTAGACTTAATTGGCAGTACAATTTTGTAGATACAAAGTTGTGCATGGCACCATTGTTAACTAGGAGCACAACCATCACGCTTGCGATTTCCCCTTTAACCTTCATTGTTCGAGAACCCCAAAACCAACAAACAAGTTCAGAGATAGCTTCATTTGAGTCGTGCGTTCAGTGTTCACTGAATTGGTCTCTCCCTCTTCCTCAATCAACTCATAATCTGGATTCACTTGCTCGTTTTCTTTCTCCAATATCATCCCTTGCAAGCTTTTATTCTTCCAAACATAAGTTGGATTGTATCTATCTCCACATTTGAAACACAGACCTTACTCTCTTTGCAATTGAGCTCCGCGTTAGGTAGCCTATGTGATTTACAGCCTAGTCAAGCCAAGAAATTGGTGGAGGTCGAGCTTCCTGTTCGCGAATATGAGGGTCGAGTCTCCGTTTGCTTGTGTGTTTTTGAAGTGCCTAAGATGAATAGGATCACGTCAATAAAAGCATATGTGTAATTTCAATGGGGCTCATATAGTGGTATGGTTTTGTGAGAGTGGGTTTCGGCTGAATCTGTTTTGGGCCTAAGACAAAAACATTGTGTTTTGGATACCCTATTCTCTTTCGCCCGCTCAATCACCTAGTTCTCCTCTTCTATGTGTAGTGCCGTCAACATCATGTCTTGCAAGGTGGTCATCCCGACAAGCTTCAACTCAGTGTGAATCTCAGCTTTAAGGCATTATGGAATGCTCCCACTAAGCACTCCTTCGGTGCCCCTTTTAGTGGTCCGAATAATCTCTCAAACTCCTCTACCAAATCTGACACCAAATGCTCATGTTTAATGGCGAACAAATCGACCCAAGAGTTCATGCGTAAACTCTAACTGACTTTGAATCGGTTTCCTAGCTTTTAACCACCAATACCAATTTAGAGTTCTTCTCTCCAAGTAAACCATAGTAGCTTCAAGCCTTTTAGCATCCACGACAGCATTAACATGGAAATACCCCTCAGCCCAGTAAAACCACCCAAGTGGTCTTCTCTATTGAACACAAGTAACTCTAATTTCCTATATTTACTAGTTTCACACTCTGCTTCTCCATTGCCTTCTACATGTTCTCTTCTATTTCTCCCTCTGGGTTCTCCTATGTGAGACTCAGCCGCATTCCTCCATCGCCCAACTAACTAAGCTACAGTCTCTTGCAACCCTCAGATCATCTCCTTCACACTCGCCATTCCCCTGGTTAGCCTCTCATCAATCCCTTTCACTTTCTTGTTCAAATCCCGGATTACCTCCTTCACTTCCTACATCTCATCTTTAGTACACCCCATATCTTTCCATAAAGCCTGAGGAATGTTGCTCTTATACCAAATGATAGGACTCGGGGGAAAATATCACTGAATAATACTGAACTGTGATTAATAATAAAAAAGAACTCCCATAACACAGCACAATGCTTCCGGCTCTCATGAGACCACTCAAAAGTTCAAAGGTCCCATAGGCAAACCTAGAAGCAACAATGCCTCTAAGTATTAAAATATCATATTACAGTTCCCCAAAATAAAACAATTGACAGCAACCTACTAAGACCTAGACTTTCCAAAGTGGTAAGAGATTCTAAGTCAACCATCTGACTCACGAAAAGGTGCCTTGCCATTTCCATATACATGCCTAGGTCTCCTTTTATATTGTTCAGCAGCAAAAGCGAACCTATCAGCATCCTTGAAAAGTTGATTTCTATCAATTGCATGTGACTGACTAAGCTTAAGAACATGTCAAATTCTGAATTTGCATCATTTCTGCAAAATTCTTGCTGTCACACTCACAGTAGTCTTCTGGTTAACTAAGTGCTTTCAGATTCCCAAGAGTAACTTAGTACTAGGATGAGGTCAAAATTTGCTGTCACTGTTGAACATGATGGTGTTTCTGTCATATTTGGCCAGGACCGAAATTCTTGGATTATGATTATTAATCTTGCAACTAGTTCAGATCTGATCTGAATCCATCTTTAAACCTTGCATCATCATATCACTTTGAGCATCATTGTGCTTCATTCAAATCTGTGATTCTCCAAGTGAAGTTGATTACAACTGACGCATCTAACCACACTTTGAATCTCAATTTTTCTGAATACTTGCTTTCTGGATTCAAGTGACCACTTCCTGAATGTGAACTGAATTCTCCTTTGTTGTGATGCTTGGCTAAATTTGATCATTTTCATGCATTAAGGGTATTTGAGTTGCAGAATATCCCTACATTTGGTTCCAAACTTTACATGCCAGTTTGCTACACCTCTGCCAATTGTTGTGTTTGACTGTTTAATGGAAATATCTTGACACCTCTGGGAATAACTAGAAGCTGGAAGTGATTGTAAGTAGTCTTTTAGCTATGGACATTTACAGTAGACTTCAGCTTAAAGTCTGGTGAATTTGATGTTATTCTTCATAAAATTTGGTTATAAAACTATGCATTTCAAATTAATCCGAGTATTTCACCCTATTCTGGTTAATTACTCCTTAGGAAGATTTCCACATCTGCAACTGAATTTGAATTGCTGATCTTTTCATTGGTTTTGGTCACGGCTAAGTTCTAGTCACTGAAACTTGTTGAAACTTGCTAACACCAAACTGCCTTGACTCACATATGATTCCCACTCTCTACTAAACTGGTCTCATGAATTGCTGTGACAACTTTGAGTTGTAAACTTTGTGCATGTAGTGAGTTCTTAGTAAGCTTTTAGGAAATCCTCATCACTTCATAATGGGTGACCGGTTAGTACCAGTTTTTCACGCTATTTTGACCAATTTTAGCTTCTAAGTGGGCACTTCTAGGTGTCAATCAACTGTTGTTCTGTAATATAGAAATCTGTGCATAAAATATTGCTAAGCTGTGCAAACATTTTTGCCGTCAAATTTAACACACCTCCCGGACTTCCGAGAGTAAATTGAGAGTCCATACTGTCTCTTGTTGCCACTTGGCATATCGAGATAAGATGAAGCAAGTGCCTCATTGATTTCTCATAATGTTAATTGTGCATTGCTAGGAAACATTCAATTACTGCAATTTTTAATGTTCCTGCACAGTCTTTAGCCTCTACAAATCCCAAGTGTTGTCAAATTTTTGCCCCCCATTTTCATTTGCTAAGTTGTCTGAACGTGATTAACAATCAACTCCACATTTTCTTTGCCCTAACCATTTTTTCGGACCACTAAAATCTAGTGAATCTTGTATTTCTCAATGAACTTTGTGCAGAATGTGGCTTGCATCACTTTCCCAGTCAATAAGTTGCTTGCTGTGCATAATTTACATTCTACTGAAATCTGAAATTTGGTTGGCTGACCTATTCTGATATCTGAAATATTTTGAGTTGTCCAGATTATGCTTAGAACATATTTTTAGGGTTATTGCATCTCTGGATATCATTCACATACCTAAGCATATACTCATTTATAATCATACATACTTGTGCATATATACTGGTTTTGCGCAGAAACACAAGGCGCTGAAGCCTTAAGTGAGATTAGTCTGTGTGTAGATTTTGTCACTTAACAATATTGTATTAAACGTAAATTTTGTGATGTGTTGGCATTGTGAAAATTGTGTTGTGTTGTAGCCTAATCATAATTTGAATTTGAGATAAGTAACTATTGGTTGAGTATGTGAGTGGTTGATGAACTACTTGCCCGAGATAACTTGATCTTGATGTCATATGAGGTTAGAATTCTTTGAAACGGGAGGATTGATTTGAATATATCTATATTTTTCTTCTCCTCCTTATCCTTATCTTTTATCTTTTTTCCCTCCTCCACTTCTCTCCTTTGGTGCCTTTCTATTTATCAAACATTAGTTTCCTTATCTTCTATGCACGAGTTTTATTGGTATTTGTGAAGCATTATTATTTTTCAGGGACTTGTATGCATGATTATTGAATTTTTCATTTATTGTTTAATTCTTTACCTCTAGTCCATTATAACTTTGCATCTTTATTATTTAAATTTGAATAAATTATTCATTCATTTATTTTCTTGTTAATTAATTTTTTATTTGTTATCATTTTATTGATATATTTATGATGAGTTACAAAAAGAAATAAATATTTGAATCATTTAGGATTTATCATTATTTTAGTATTTATAGATTTTGTCACTATTTCAGTGTTTTTATTATTAGGATTAGTTGTTATTGCTATTTTCATTTTATTATTATTTTAGTAGAAATAACTCTTGTTTTCTCATTAGAAAGAGATTTTGAATATTAAATTGACAGACAATCCTCTCCCGTCTTTTCTTCGCCTTCTCTGCTCTTTTCACGTTGATTGATACTTATTGAAGAATAGGAGAAATTTTTTGTAAATAGCCAATATATAATATTCTGGTCAAAGTTTTAACCCGTGTTGAATTACCGGCCAAAAGATTGTAATTAAATTTAAACAGCTTAAGAGTGAGGATAATGAGAAAATTGAAAAGCTTATGCATCGAAATTTCCTCAGTATCGTCTTCCGTGCATTATATTATGGCTACTGATATACTAAACAATACCAAAATTGCTTTCTTCTTTTTCCTTATGCCTTGCGCCAATTAAAACTTTGACGACAAGACGGCTAAAAGAATCAGTACCCTGCTAATTCGTAACATAGCAAGCGACTGTTACCGAGTGTTTAAGGGGCAAAACTGGGACTTGGCAGGATCATCTTTGCATGGACCTTTGCAAAGTTTTTAAGGATATTCATCCTCAGAATCCTCATTAGATGGAGTTGCCGAGTGTTTCATGTTGGCTGGGCCAAACAGAAATTCTAAGCAGAAGCATGGCCCACAGATTGATCTTCCTTTATTCCCTACTTTGTCCAAGTCCTTCATCCTCAGCTACAATTTTTACAAAAATGGATTACAGTCCAAGCTTGAATTTGCAATTTAGTAACTACTTTGTGCAATTCAACCAACATTGGAAATGCCTCCAAATCGTTAGTCCTGACTACCAGTATTTTTTTTTTTTACTGAAATGGAGTTAGGTTTTTGAAACTTACAGTTAGGCTATGTTTGGATAGAAAAGAATGAAGAGAATAGATTACAGAGTTTAATTTAGATTCTCAATCGAACATTTCCTTCCTTCCCTTCTCCAAAGCATCAACCCAAACATACCCCAGAGAAGAATTTTCCTAGCAGCTGACATAATACTTGTGCTGCTGTAGTTTTATGCCAAGCGTAGCATCGTATTTTCAAATAAAAAATCATCATGTGATATAATAAAAAGGAGACAATAGTGCTCTGAAAGAAGAACGGGTTTTATACCAAGAATAGCATTCGCATTTTTATATAATAATTTCATATATTAAAGGGGAGATCTAGTTCTGAAAGAAGTAGAGATTACCTGTAGCAAGCCATTCCTAATAAAAGCTGTATTAAAACAGCAGTAGAAAAGTCGGCTTCCCATCATTTTTTGATAGAATATGACACGAACATCTCCAGTAAGCTGTTGGCAATGTGAATTGAAAATTATATTGACTAATAGAATATAATTAGCAAAATCCTTCATCATCCACATAAGTTTCTTAAGTAAACTTACAGACAAATAAATAATGTTCAATTTATACCAACACATGATTACTACAAATGAATACCAAAAGAAAAGGAAAAAATAAATTGAGAAATAAAATGAAATGAAAAATGTAGGAATCAGTTAATAAGATCTTCATACACAGGCAACAGAGTTCTTTGACATGAATAGACTACCATTTTCAACTCACTAGCAGCCATGCCGATTACTAATTTTCTCTTTAACAATTTCTACTTTTTGTATCCTACTCAATTCAGATTCAGTTGATTTCTTGTTCATTTTAAGCAAATATATAGGGAAGAATTCCCTTTCTAAGGAAAAATTTAAAGAACAGCAAGTTGATCAGATGGCATGTGATTAATAAAAAAGAACAGGTCAAGCGTTACTTACTTGGACTGGTTTGTCAAAGTAATGGTCCAGACAAGATTTTTGGTATATTGCCGGATCCTCAGTGTCCATTTGGACTACAACACGAGCTTCCTCTAATTTTGATTCTTTTCCATCTTCATCACCTTCTACATAAGAGAGATAATAGCAAGGACTGTAGTTTTGCTGATATCCTTTCTTAATTCGTCTGCAGCTGCTCCGAATAATCTCCACTGATGGACAGTAGACTTGATTAGGAACCTATAAGAAAATAGGAATATAAGTAGAGAGATATCACTTGCTTTTCCAGAAGACGTCTCATTCAGGTATATTTAACGACCAAATTAGGAAGGGGGATTCAAAATACATGAACCAATCAGTATGCAAATTCTGATTCCATAGTGATGCTCATGCGGGGGACTAAATGTTTCTTCAAACTACCTTTGAAGCTTTGCTTCTTATTAACTTCATGTAATTTGGTTATGAAATATAAACAAACTTGTTCTGATAAACGAAAGATATATGTTTCTTCACCCTGTTTATATTTTTTATTAATCAAGTATCTGCCTTTCCTTGTACGCATATATCAATGGTTCTTTTAATAAACGGAAATATTGAACTCTAGTAAGTCTTCTAGTTCGAATCCTGGCCTCCGAAATTGAGATAAACAGACCTTCTGCATCTCTAAGATCACAAAGAAGATCGCTTCAACATTAAGTGTATCATAAAGCCGGATTCGCCGCAATTCTCTGCTACATGGTTGAGGCAAGCTCACAGTTACTGGTTCATTACGAATGCCTCTAGGAACAGATAGTATACTTTCCCAGTACCCTACATAACGACATTGGCTTGGTATTGACACCTGTTCTAACACCACAATAATGAGGTTAATTTCTCCTTCTTGGTGTTAACTTCAATTTCGTCTTGAGATGGAAGAATAGAAATTCAATAAGAAAAAACGAAAGAAAGAACAAAAAGCAGTAAATGGGAAACACGACACCTTCACATGGTAAAGAGACAGTAATGAAGACAGGCTGCTTATGTATTGAGAAAATGCATGAAACCACATTTTCTAAAATACTACAGTAATATGCTAAAGGAAATACTAACACATTATAATACCATGTTTGTACATTAAAATGAGGAAGAGAATAAATATTCTACCTCTTTTAAAGGAATATCAAGAGAAGAAACCTTGTACCTTGGAATTACATCCATATGCCTACTTATTATAGATTAAACGTTTTTTATTTTTACCCGGATATGATTAATGAAATGGTTGATTAACGATATGTTCATTCCTTCCAAATTCTAATTAGTCCTTAAGAACCTGTTTGCTTCAATTCCTAGGATTCCTAGGAATAACGTTGCCCATAGTAACCATTTTTCAATGATTTTAATCCAATTTTTTCATTTTTTATTGACCATAACCATGGAAACAGCCTCTTCCATGGTAATCATTACTCCTTAAAAATTGGGAATTTAGTTTCATAACCTTATGCATGTCAATCCTTATTAGTCCATTTTAGTCTCTATCAACCCATTATATACCATTCCTATCCTTTCCCACAACCTAATGGGCCATAAGTAAGTTCTGCCTTTTCACTAATTAAGGCTAGGAAACACGGAATTTTAACGTCATCACATATCACAGCCTGATTAGCTTACCATTCACCAAGTCATTATTGTTTTTAAAAATTATTAAGTGATACTATCGAAACTTGTGGGTTTCTGAAAACTTTGAAAAGTGAACATTTCAAATTGTTGGGATTATACCTAACATGACTTACTCCTTCGTTATTGGTTGTCCGTCTATCAGCATACAATTGAAGAGCCTCATCTGTGGACATACCGCAGTAAACTAGGTATGAAGATACCATCAAGCCAGTTCTACCCTTCCCTGCCTGCATAATTTAAGTCATCTCCATAAAAAGAAGAGGTGCTAGTGAAACAAAAACAAATAAATTTGTTGAGAACCAGTTTTGCACAAAATGTGAGCATTTGAATAGTTCCAGTGAAGGAACTATTCTCAAATGTTTCTTTGCCACGGTTCACTAGTAAGAATGCAAAATGCATCCTCTAAATCCTGTTTTAGATATGCACAAAATAGTTGAACTGTATACTTATCTTTTTATAATTTGAGCTCAAGTCATCACTAAAGTACACCACCACAAATTATCCATAAAGAACATGCTGAAGCATCATTCATGAGAGTAGAATATCAATTTCTTAAGCTGTTCAACCCACTTGTATATCTATACTGGATTCAGACAAATAAAGATAAATATCCAAATCACACTAGGATGACTTGATTACTAACAATCCTAGTTGTACATTTGTCTGGGAATGAATTAAAAAACGTTCAATTGAAGAACCAATATAATAAGCTGTCAAAGATGATGCATTTAAAAAAAAAAAAAAAAAATCTCAAGATTCTAATAGTGAGTGTAAAATCTCATACCATGCAATGGATGACAGCAATATTTTTTGGGTCACTGGATAACCACGAATGCACACTTTCACAGAAGTTCTTGATCATTTCAAGAGGTGGTACATGGTTGTCATCAAAGGGATATGCTTCCACACGACCATAAAAGTGTGCTGGATCATAATTCTCTTCTATACATAGATTATATATCTGAAATATAAAAGAAATATGCTATTGAAATATGCTCAACAATGTATGGAGGGATAATGTGACAATATTTTATATTACATATGATCAAGCGTTAAAGAGGTGCACCTTATAGTGGTCATGGTGTCTCATATCCAGCACAGATTTGACCTGCCAGAGAGGATTTCTATACATTGCTCGCATACGTTCTGCAGGAAATGACATTGCTAGTAATCGATCTGTGATATATGACATGTCAAGATCATACCCAGCAATAAGCATTCTCCGCCGTTTCTTGGATACCAAATTACGAATATATAAATTTTCTGCGAGGTAATTGATCAAGTGATGATGTAAACTCAGGTTTTCAACTTTGGGTGGCCCCTCCTTTGTATGTTTCAACCCCATTAGGTTGTTAAGTTACAATCCTCAATGATGCGAAGATACCTATGTGGGGGGGGGGGAAAAAAATCGATTGAGACATCCAAAATATTGTACTAAAAATGCATAAATTCTAAGTTAAGGAAGTGACAAAGTGTTACCAACAATCAGAAAAAAATTGTTTAGTTTTTAGTTGAAAACATTGGGGGGGGGGGGGGGTGTTTTCTTTTTATTTTTCTGGTAAGTGGGATTGGCCACCAATTTTGAATAACTTCTAGTCACGGCTGTCCTTTAGATTTCTCAACATTTTTGGTTAAAATTGGCTTCGAGTTTGATTCTAACTTCGAGTTTGATTCTATCTCAAATGCAATGATGGTGTCAATCAGAAACGATATTAACGAACCACTTGATTGCACAAAGTTCTGCAGAAAGCAAAATTTCTTTCTCCAGGGCATTTAGTAAGGTACCTGCCCTGAACATGTGGTAAATGCAGAGCCGGTAACCGTCATCAATGGAGGAGCAAAAGACTAGCAGAATCAATCTAGGGTTCCGAATGAATTTCCATGAGAAGTAAAGAACGGGGAAACCCTAGAAGAGCTAGAGAATAAACTGGAAGTTGGTGGAGGATTTGCTGTGAAGAAGACGATGATGAAGACCTCCATTTTGGTGTTCGGAGGGTGAGAAAAGAGAGGAGAAGGAAGAGAGAAAATTGGGAATGGGATTGGCAGTAATCTTTCCCCAACTTGAGGGGGATTTTTAGCCTCACTTGCGTTCCAGATATCCATATTTAGGATCCGATGCAAACCTACAACATCGGACATGGATCGATGGTTCACACTTCTGTTTGCTAAGACCTTCTCTACAACGCCGCGAAGCTAAACCGTACTGCCTCCCGTTGCGAGCTTTTGAGATCTAACTATTTTAAGATTCCACATTTTGTGCCCATCATTTTAAGATTCGATACTAAATATTCCTATTATGATTAGTTGATTACAGATTCTTCACCAGGATCTTAAAATTCTGGATGCCGTCTAATTCCTGACTGACAAAGTAAGATGAGTTTACTGGTTTCCGTACTTAATGTTTAATAGTTAATTAATTTGAATAAATTAAAAAATTTAACTAAATTAGTTATTTGTAATAAATATATATTGTTTTATCAAAAATATTTTTACTAATCAAGTGTTTTAATTAAAACTATCTTAGTGAAGTCCTTAATATGTGTAACTATTACAAGGACTAGGAAAAAATAGATAAATATAAAAGATAAAATGAATTGGGATCTTATATTTAGAATCAAATTAAAAGTTAGACTAATTCTGAAATAGTATTATAATTAACATTCATTATTTCATTGTTACTTTTTAATTTCTAGTTGAATTTCAACTTTATTCTTAAAACTTCATTTTTATTATCTTATACTCCTCCAGTTTTTTTTTATAAGACATAATTAGTGAGTTGATTTTAGTCCTAAATATAAAACATATTTTTTTATTTATCAGTTTTTCCTAAATTACTCCTATTGATACTCTCTCAAATATAATCAAGTAAAAGACGGAGAAATAATATTAAAAAAAATAATTATGGTGGTTTAGGAAAAACATATCATATTTCTGATTATTAACTAACTTACCTAGTTTTTTTAATCTAATCAAATTAGTTAAATAAGTCTTATATTAAGGACCGCAGGAGTATCTTAAAATGGAATTAGTTTATTTTTATCAAATAAACATGATGTTGATGATAAAGGCATCAAAAAAATATTAATATCACATTCAAATATGATTTTGAACCTGATTTTCAGAACATAGAATTGTAAGATTTTTCTTTTCTTTTCGTGCTGTTTTTTGGGCCAATGCATAGAATTGTATCAAATAGACTTTGAAACATATAATAGCAAGAATTTTTTTTTTTTTTGGTAGGTCTTCAACTCTCCATATGGTAGCCTATATATATATATATATATATATAATTAACAGAATACAAAATACTTAAACAATATTTTTTTGGAATTTTTCTTGTTAGGGATGAGTATCCTTTATTGAAGGTAATTTTATTCATGATATTCTCAAATATTAAGTGTGAAGACATCTCCCAATGAGCATTTTACCACGTTGTAAGTGATTTTTTTGGGGGAATATTATAGTCAAAGCATTTTCCCCCCTGATCTCAAAGGTATAAATTGAAACATGGTAAAAAAAAACAAAAATGAAGGACCCAAATAAGACATGGTGCCAGGTCCCCCAAAAAAAAAAAAAAAAACATCATAGCGGAACTAAACCTATGCTTTATTACCTCTTGGCCTGAAAATTAAAATATATTTTTCATCTTGAATACTAATATTCAAAATCCTTGGAAATTTATTTTCAATATATAGATATCACAATGTACTGAATCTCGCATTAAGCATGTTAATTCTTCGCTCCAAAATTCTTCAGGCATGCTGATTTCTCTTATAAATCATTTTATCTTTGGCAGGTTATGTAAAACGACAGGTTGTTCATTTGTGTTTGTTTTCTCCTTTCTATGACCAGACATCTACTGCAAGTTCAGAATTACGATTGGATTGAGGGAAAATAAATGTTAAAACTAAATTCATTGATTTCAAATCCAAACAGATAAAAATTTATTAAGGAATCGAATGAAAAAGGATTGGAGGAAAGAAACATAACATTAAAGCCAATTATTCAAGGTGGTCATGTGGCCTTATTGACATAAACATTGCAGCATACTGCAGAAGCCTGCGTTCACTGGCACCATTTTCACTTGCAGTTACAGAAATCACTGAACCTTTAGTCCTTTTCCTGTAATTTTGCCAAGCAAGTTGGATATTAACAGCAGCCCAGGTTCGCCAATTGGATGAGTAATACCTGGCCGTTCTCTTGAGTCTTTCATTAGCAAATTTGTAGCGGAAGTGATCAGTAATGTACTTAAGGTGTTCAGCACTCAGGCCAAAGGCTTCTGTTGATTCAACACATACAAATGCTGCTGAGGACGCCGGAAGCCGGTCCATAAACGGCCGGCGAAGGCACCATGACAGCAGCTCATCACCCAGAAACCCTCCTCCTTCAAGGTTACTCGTGGCTATCACGCCTTTGCTTAGGCTTTGGATGCGTTTTATTCGTCCACGAACAATGAACACCATCCTTGTAACCGGGTCTCCTTCTCTGATTATCTGTTTCAGATGACAGTGGCATTTACTGGCTAAACAAAACCATAGAGATATCTTACTTAACAGAAAATGGGATTTCAATTGTATACTCGATTTTTACCTTTTCATCTTTAGAGAAGATTAAGGGTTTAACCCTGTCACAGATGTTATCAAGAATAAGATCATCCAAGTTGTGAAACAGAGGTACCTGTCAAGGAGAAGAATTCCAAGAGACTGATCATCAATTTAATGGGGTCAATTGTTATGCCACTAGTAACTCTTCCATTTGCTTCTTCGAAATTGTTAAGGCTATGTTTAGTTTTCCGTTGGCAATACCTAAACCCACGTTAGAGCTAAAAAATGCATGACCGTATTTGAGCTTTCTGGAAAATCAGTCTACTCTACTGCACCTCATATTGGCTGAGTTCATTTCTTTCCCCCGTAATAACACAGTAGGTACTAGCAGCAGTACTTCCGTTCTTTTTTTCTTTTTTTTATGGTCAACATTAAGTAATGTAGCGATGCACCGTGGTTGAATTGGATCTTGAATTGCTTGCTTATCAGCTTATGTTACCTGTTTGATGAGGTCTAAGCATAGAAACCGCTTGATGTCCCTCCTCAGGCCTTCTGGCAAGCCCTTTATCAATTCCATTTCGTCCTCTCCTCCCATGGCGGCCCATCTGTGACGCTCGAAATGGCGAACTCTTTGTCGTAAGTGCGACGGCAGCTGCCTCCTTCTCATCCACCACTCCATGTCACGACGTCTCAGCTGCATCTTTCTCTTCTTTGCCATTACTGCAAGTAGGAATACCTTCATAACAGCAAAGATCAATTCTCATTGTGCAAACATGTTTGATGTTTCAATATGCCTCAGTTCTTCAAAGTGATGGAAATTTTAGCATATATTTTTGAAATACAACCATGCCCTGTTCAATAATCTGAAGATATACCTGGATGTTCCCAATCAACAAAGTGAAAAGCAGTAATCCACTAAGTACGATGCATATGCTGAAAATTACTTCTAGCCAGTGACTTGTGGGTTCAAGAACGTTGCCAAAGGTGCTGCAAGAATAAGGAGGAATTGAGCGGATACATTTAACCCTTTAAGAAATGTGCTTAAAGAATATTTCACCCAGAATAATTTCTAGGATATCTCTGTGCCAATGAATGTGCTTGATTTTACCTGTCATTTGTTTTCTTAATTGATTGAAATATAATTTTTTTCAAAAAAGATTGCATTTTTAATTTATATCGAGCAAGCCAATTCCTATAAAAATTCGAAACATCAATGTCAATATAAATATAAAACCTATATAACAAACCGGACAATTTATTTAGCATAAAGTCGATGTGGCTAATGCAGGGCCGAATCTCTGGTTTTAACCAATGGAATTCCTGAAATTATAAATCTTCAACAAGCAAAGCGTAGCAGTTGACTTGAAAAGCAAAATGTTTCAACATATTCACAGCAACAGCATCTGAAGAGAAAGTTACGACTACAAGAAAGTGAGAGCAGTACAAGTAACGTCTTTTCAAAGTGTGTCGTCCACCTAACCACCAGCACTTAGACGTTTCCAATACAACGAGAAGATATTATCAACAATTTTACTTGTGCTTATCCACTGTGTGCATAACGTAGAGTGGACCATAATTTAAGTTGAAGTTTTCGATCACTAACTAACAGGGAAAAAAAAAACACCAGTGATTTCTCACTGCTAGAAAAATCGACACTATTTGTGACGAAAAAAATCTCTCACTAATTATCCAGATGACAGATAATAAAAATCACCATGTTCTCTTGAAAATTTGCAAATTTGGTGGTGGATTTTCATGGGTCGCAAAATTGGAGAGTTAATTATTAGTCTGTCTTACAGTTTACCTGAGAGCCATCAAACCCCAAAATATGGGGTATAGAATCTTGACAGCCAAGGAATTGCTGGATATGACTGGAATAGCCCACTGGTAGATTCCATATTTGAAAGGTCCTTCAAAATCTAAGCACAAAGTCTTTCTCACCACTACCGTGGAGTTTCCATGACATAGATTTTCTAGCGTGCTTTTTCGCAACAGATGCTGATAGCATACCTCCTCCGAGCATGAAAGAGGCAGACTACAACCAGGACTACTTTCACACTGCCTCTGGAGGCATGAAGCAACACGTTGAATTGCCAGGACATACCAGCACCCTCCAGTAACCTAGAAATTATTAACACATGGGTGAAAAGGATGGAAAAGTAGAAAACCACATTAAATGAGCTATATAGACATATCATAGTAGGTGAAATCAAGCTTGAAACTCGCTTACATGAGAAGCAATTAAGTAAGCTATGAGATTGAGGCCAAATCCCCACCAAATGGTGCCAAAGATGTAGCCAGTAACTTTTTTCATTCTTCTCATCAAGATGATGCTGTGGTAGACCTTGGGGAGAAACTGGAACAAGAAGATTAACAGTAGTATTGTCACTATGAGTTTAATTCGCTCTTCTCTTATTAATTTGGGCAGTACTAACCAAAACACAGCCTGCAAACGGAAAGAAAACGTAGAGTCAGCACGGAACTGATTTTAGGCATAGCTAATGCATATATGCATTGTAACTATGCAAGGCAAATTCTTCAGCAGTTATGCGTGAAAATGAAGGAAAACTCTGTCATTTATCAGCTATCTACTTATTCATTATCGTTTCGCTAAGTATTGTAGTTATT